AAGCTCTACCCATCCTTCGTGCACAGGTCAACAACCTCGTATTCCTCCAGTTGTCGCCGAAGACCTATTGATACTATAGGCCATTAACACTTCATTTGGGAGAGCTTTCTAAAACATAATTTTAGTATACAATTTTTTTAAACCGGAATTTTTTTATCAGAAAACTGCTTTAAGAATCACTAAGAAAACTATCACAAACAAAACCATAGGCGTGGTTTGAGACAACTTTTTTATTTCTTTATAAAGCTATTTCTAGCAAAAAAATTTCTAGTTCAAGAAATTTTTATACTAAAAGGCTGCTTTTGGAAGCACTAAGGAAGTTGTCTCATCTTCATTTTGGATAGCTTTATTATTTTTTTCTAAAGCAACATTTTAGTATAAAATTTTTTAATTCAAAACATTTTTTGTGAATTAAAAATTTTTATACTAAAAATCTTTTTTTAAAAGTAATAAGATTGCTATCCCAAATGAAGCCCAAGTTTGATCGTGAAAAATCTAATTTTACATTGATTAATGTGTTGATAAAAATCAGATTAATGGATTTGAAATTTGCTCAAAATCAATTCATGTCACAATTTTAGTTGATTTAAAACCAGCCAAAATCAAAATGAGTGGTTTGAGACAACTTTTTTATTTCTTTATAAAGCTGTTTCTAGCAAAAAAATTTCTAGTTCAAGAAATTTTTATACTAAATGGATGCTTTTGGAAGCACTAAGGAAGTTGTCCAGAAATGAAGAATTCGTCTTCATTTTGGATAGCTTTACTATTGTTTTCTAAAGCAACATTTTAGTATAAAATTTTTTAATTTAAAAAAAATTGTAAATTAAAAATTTTTATACTAAAAATCTGTTTTTAAAAGTAATAAGAAGGCTATACCAAATGAAGCCCAAGTTTGATTGTGAAAAATCTAATTTTACATTGATTAATGTGTTGATAAAAATCAGATTAATGGATTTGAAATTTGCTCAAAATCAATTCATGTCACAATTTTAGTTGATTTAAAACCAGCCAAAATCCAAATGAGGCGGTTCAATATGGCTCATTTTGATTTTGAACTATCTAGAAATGAATCCCCTTAATAACAAGTTGGCTCAAAATCAAAATGAGTCAGCTAGTTTTAGTTTTCATACCAACTTGATATTAATGAATGAAATTTAATTTGAGAAAAGCTCACAATCCAATTTTAGTAATTAATATAAACTTATTAAACAATACAAAAAAAAATCAAAATTATAACTCAATGATTAAGCAATTAATTATTACAAATAGATGATTAGTGGATTTATATAATGAAATTAAAAAAAAAATTAAAATTGTAATAAAATTAACAAATAACAATAGCCAACAGGCTTCATTTGGGATGGTTCTTATTGCATTTTAAAGACACTTTTTTCGTACAAAAGATTTCTAATTGAAAAAGAATGTACTAAATAACTACTTTAGAAAGCATTAAAAGCTATTCCAAACAAAGCCAAAATCATCTATCCAAATCATCTATCCAACAATATATGATCAATCCATGCCTCATCATTTCATATCAATTATTTATAATCATCAAGCTTATTATCCAACATTCAAGTCATGATAAAATATATAAGTAAAATAATATGTAAATATGATTCTATGTAGAAAATAACATACTAAAATAGTCCCAATTTTGATATATTCATATGTAGTCCATATAAGTTCAAAAAATGACCAAGCATTATATAGTAAGTAGTAAGTACCATCAAAACATATAACAAGGAAGAAAATAAAAGCATTACTATACCATTAAGGGAAGAGATCCATATAATAAGACTTAAAAATTTTATCTTAACTAGTGTTAAATACTCATGAGAAGTCATGTAATATAGGCCAAATATAGTCAAGTAAATAATATGAGTTGATCTATCTCCCAAAGAGAGTAGGCTCCTTAATATTAATTACACTAGAGGACATCTTCAACATTTACTCTCAAAAAATGAAACATGCATGTTGTAATGTCCCAAGATCAAAATTGAAAGAATTATTCTTTTATCTTTTAATATACAACAACTGAGCTATATATTCCTCTTTTATTAATATAATATAAGCTGAAATAAAATTTGTAATAAAAACATCAAAATATATCTACATTCTTATTCCAAAAATCATGTACAATACTTATGAATCATACAATTGTAATCCATCATCACCAATTCTTAATACAAAAGAATAGTTAGAAGACTGAAATAAATAAACTAACAGCAAACTTGAAGGTTCTTAATCTAATCAATTTCACACACATGATCTTTTGTAATGACCCAAAATCATTTAAATCATATATAATGAGTTTAAAAGTCCAATAGATTATCCAATCCTATAATTGACTTAAAGTACAATAAAAAAATAGTATGTATGTCATTAATCAATTCATAACAATAGTAATCATATGAACATGAATCGATATAGAAAAAATAAAACACACATGTAGTAGCAGTAAAATATGTTAAAAATAAAACATTATGACACGGAAGCCAACAAAGTAGTATGGTGGGGAAACAAGTAAACCAATACTAGTGTTGAATCGATAAAGCAGTTGTTGTATCAATATTATCAATAAGTAAAGAAATCATATAAAACAGTAAAATCCTATAATGTCATATATATATGCTATTCAGTTATTCTATATATGTATCTTAATCACATGCTCAATATATGACATGCTAAATATTGATACAATGAAACCATATTAGTAATTAGTATAATGAATCAATGGTATAACTGAATAATATCAATGTCCACATCTATAGTAGCATCAGTACAGTATCATTAGTAAAATTAGTGACAGTAACAATAAAACAATGCATTAATAGTAAATATATACAATGATAGTAAATCAGTAAAAAATAATAGTAACATAGTAAAATCATAAAGTAATAGTAACAATAAATCAATAATATGCATTTCAATAATCATACTAAATAAATAAGAAGTTTTGGTTTAAGTTGTGTTTTTCTAGTAAGCAGTAATCTATATTAGTATCTCGTTGGCTCAATAAACAGAGTTGTCACTATTTGCTTATCAGCATAGTAATTATCTTCTTATAACTCTCAATTAGTATCACGTGATGAATCAATGGAGGATGACACCAAATCATTGTATTTAAAGAAAAATCTATTGGCCCACTATCCTATACAAGTCAGTAGCCTTCAGCCAATATCAGTGAGATCAATTTTTACTTATCCTCACACAAATTATTATCATAACACTATAACAATAATAACATCCAACTATTATTTAACCACATATCTATAGTCATTTCCAATGCATGTATTAACATTATGCTTATAGTAAAAAATATCACTTATTTAATTAGTAGAAATAGTAGAACATACGATAACTTTTATTTTATCCGGTGAATTTAAATAAATGTTACAGTTAAAATATTTAGGATAATCATTATAATAAAGTACAAAAATATGTGTGGTAAAAGTTCAATAAAACCAAATAAAATGTATTAAAATCAATTATGGAGAGAAATAAATAGTTGAAATTAAAATATTGAAAAATAGGATTGGATTAGAATCACCTACAATGATTTGAGCAATTTCTACAAAAGCAGCAAAGCGATTCAACTACTAAAAATCAACTTTCTCCTTTTCTCTTTGTTGCGCTGCAATTCAAACAAGAATTTAGATTTTCCATTTTTAATTATTTTCAGAAATTTGGATTGTTACACATACTTCTTAATGGTATAAGGAATACCTACTAAAGGGATGGGATATTCTTAAACATAACTACTGAACAAATCTTATGATTTTATCTTGTTTAAGATATATAGCCATTGCCTAGTGTATTAAGATGGCATGCATTTAGGCCTTTAAGTTAAAACTAAGCATACAAATAAAATCTATATCGAAAGGAATATGATATGTATGTAAGTTGCGTGCCCTTAAAAGAGAAAAACATCGATATGTAGTTGGCTAGCTATGGTGTGAATGTGCACCATTTCTTGAGGGTTTAGAGACAAGCTCTACTTCGTGCCTCATCTAGGCTATATAAAAGAGAACATATTTAATTTAAGTGTGGCTAGAGAGAGCCTTAATTTTAAGAGAAAACTTTTGTTAAATTACCTTCAAAGCTTTTTATTAATTTATTAAAGTTGATCATAAAATTAAGTAAAACATGACATCACAAAAATGTTTAATGATAGAAATACTTGATTTAATGATCCCTTTTATAAAAAAAAAAGTATGAATGATTGTATATTTTTCACCTTCTCGAAGAATATCTCTATTCAAGTGCATAAAACTAAAAAAATAGCGGAACTAGTTATACATTACACATTTATACATTTACATTCTTGCTAGTTGCATAATGAGCCACCTATTATGCACCATAAGGATTGTCTAGTAAAATGTTAACCTAGCTACACCTTTCTTGTCACAAATTTTTATTTGGTCCGGTGAACAGACGTAGAGTTACGTTCGGCCGACACTGAGACCGCGCCACGTAGCAGGCACAAAACCACGTATTTGTCGATTTTGCTCGGCAATAATGAGAAATATCATTATGTGAAGACAAATACCGAGCAATACCGAGTTTTTTTCTAGAAAAACTCTGTATTACTCGATATTGCTCGGTATTTACTCGGTATTGGTCTTCACAGAGCAGTATTTCTCGTTATTGCCAAACAATACCTAATAATACCGAGCAAATACCGAGTAACTTAGTGGTGACCGTACGTAGAGCTAGGTCCGATCACCGGACGTAATAATTGTTCCCTTGTCACGCACATGGATTTAATGTGAAAGAATTTTTTTTCTATTATTAATTTCTTATTTTTTAATAACAACCAATAATCCTTACAACTAGATCAATAACATCCAAATCAATTTAATATCAAGAACTGATTAATTACATTAAAGAAATATAAACAAAAAAAAAAGTAAAATAATTGTTAGGATTTTTTTTCTTTCAAAATTACTACTTAAAGGGACGTACAGTAGCACCAAACATTTATATCTTTTTTATTTTTTGCATGAATGCAATCATTTACCCCTCTGACTTTCTACTGCTTAACCAATTTCAGATCTCTACTACGAGAAAAGGGCATTAGGGTTTTGCCTCGTCTCCGCCTCCGCTGCAAACCCTAGCTGGTGAATCGTTCTGCATGGAGCACGGCACCGACGGCGAGCGGGCCAGCTTTCAAGGCAACGAGGTGATCTCGGCCGTTCAGGATGAGGAGCAATTTTATGGCGAAGACGATGATTATGATGACCTATATAACGACGTCAACGTTGGCGATGGCTTCTACCAGCCCTCCGTCCCCCGCAACGATGACTATGCTGGTAATTTCTCAAAGGAATCGGAGAACAAGAGAGATCCGTCTCCGCAGCCGCCTCCCGCTCTCCCTCCACCGCCATCACGAGTCCCTCCTGCAAAAGTCACTGTGCCGATTATCACCGGAGAACCAGAGGTAGAGAGGCCTTTCAACAGATCTGGATCTTTTCAGGATGGAATTGGCGGTTTCGGCATGACGGCGAGGCATTTGGCATCGTCTGGTGAGGTTAGGGTTGATCCAGGGCAGTCTTCGGGTAGGCCTGGCGAGATTCAGGGACTTCCTAGCGGAAATACCTTTGGGAACAATGGATTTCAGAAGCCGGGAAGTGGTTTTGAAAACGAAGGTTACCCTAGGCTAGGAGTTGCAAGTGGTGTCGTCAGTGTAAATAATCCCATCCCTGTTGTCTCTGCAGGAGGCGCAGGAGTTGCAGGAGCTGGAACTTCAGCTGTTGTAGGTGGGAATATGAATGGTGGTGGAGGAGGTGGAACCACCACTCTTTTCGTTGGAGATCTTCACTGGTGGACAACTGATGCTGATCTTGAAGCTGAGCTTTGCAAGTATGGAGCTGTAAGAGAAGTGAGGTTCTTTGATGAGAAGGCTAGCGGGAAATCGAAAGGATATGCTCAGGTTGACTTTTACGATCCAGCAGCTACCGCTGCTTGCAAGGAGGGTATGAATGGCCATTTATTTAACGAAAAACCTTGTGTTGTGGCCTTTTCTTCACCACATGGTATTAGACGACTTGGAGAGGGTCAGATGGGTAGAAACCAACAAAACATACCCCAGGCCCAACCACAGTCTGCGCTTGTGCAAAAGGGTAGAGGAGGAGGTGGAGGAGGAGGAGGTCATATTGGAGGGAATTATGGAAGAGGGGGTGGAGGTAATTGGGGAAGAGGTGGGATGGGAAATAGAGGGCCAATGGTGAATATGAGGAACCGCGTTGGGCCAGTTGGTGGTAGAGGTATTATGGGAAATGGTGGGATGGTAGCACCACCACCTGCAGTGTTACACCCAGGTGCCATGCTGGGACATGGATTTGATCCAACTGGTTATGGAGCCTCAATGGGTAGAATGGCTGTGGGGTTTGGAGGGTTTCCTGGGCCTGGTGCTGGTGCATTCCCGGGAATGTTGCCTTCGTTTCCCCCAGTAGTGGCACCTCATGTTAATCCAGCTTTCTTTGGAAGGGGGATGGCCACAAGTAGCATGGGAATGTGGCCTGATCCTAATATGGGCGGTTGGGGTGTAGATGAACAGTCTAGTTATGGTGATGATGCTATTTCAGATCAGCAATATGGGGATGGAAACCATGGAAAGGATAGAGGTGCTAATCGTGATTGGTCAGGGCCTTCAGAGAGAAGGCAAATGACAGATAAAGACATGGGACCTGGGTCAGAGTGGTCTGAGAGGAGACATACTGAGGAAAGGGATATGGCTCGGATGAGGGATCGAGATTTGGATAGGGATAGACAGAGAGAAAGGGAGAAGGAGAGGGAAAGGGATCGTGAGAGAGAACGAGAAAGAGAGAGGGATAGGGAGAGAGAAAGAGAACGAGACAGGTATCATGATGATAGAGACAGACATGTGGAACATTACAGGCATAGAGAACATGAATTAGAGCGGGATGATGAGTGGGATAGAGGACGATCTAAGGTTCGTAGCAACTCTCGAGAGGTTGAGAATGCGAAGAGACGTCGACCATCTGAATGAGCGGGGCCCTAGCAGTTTTCCTTGGCATAAGATGCTGCTACTGAGGTTTGCCCTTGACATGCTTGTGGTTTAACACTCATTGCATATTTTTGTCGAGGATTTTTGCAAGGGCTTGACTTATATGCTAATTGGAAGCGTAAGTTTCACTCCTCTTTCTTTTGATGTTAGAGCATATATAGCTTTTCATTATTATTGTTTACATTGCTCAAATAATCAATGCTATAGATTTAGCTTGTAACATATCTTTAATGCTATTTATTTTTTTGTTGTCTCCCTTAAATTTTTTTGAACCATTAAATTCTTTGTCTATTGCACAATTGCTATCAATTCACTATAAAATAATTGTAGTTTGAGGTTTGAATTTAGTTTGGTCCAGCAACTTTATCGTGGAGGCAAATCATTTGTTGTGCTGCTATCATCCCTACTTCTGCTATGCACTGGATGAGAACTGCAATATTGATATATCATTATTATATCATGGAAGATGTTGTAAATAAGATATATATGGACTTTGGGGTATGGTTGTTTAAATGTAATACATAGATTAAACTTCATATGATTTAATTAGGCATAACATACATATAAATGTGCATGTCTCTTCATAGTTATTTGGACACATTCATGCACACAATTATCTTTGCATAGTTTAATCCCTATATATGATAATATTCACATGGCATCAGAAAATAGTTTTGTCGGACAAAGCTATTATATAACACTTGTTTTTGTGGTCACACATTGTAGTCACAACATTACCAGGAAACATAAAATTCTATTCATTTTTTATTTTTGGGATCCAAATCTCTTAATTTGCAGAATGAAAAACTTGGTATGTTACCTATTTTAGAATAATTTGATTCGTAGTTATTATTCTTTTTTGTTTTCATAAAATTTATAATAAAAATGAATATTTGTAAGTTCCATTTTTTTAATTGGTATACTCTATGCTAACACTGTCATAAGTTTCCCTTCCTATATCATCTTTCTTTGTTGTGTTTTGCCCACATTATTTAATTTGAAGTGGAGCAATGCTTCCTACACCATGTATATCAACTCAATTTCCACACCTATATGTGACTTGTTTAATGTAAAGGGAGCATGGTGTATGTGTAGATTGTTGGAACCCACAAATTCATGCCAAGGAAGGAAATTGGGATATCAGTTGCGATTCATGCCAAGGAAGAAAATCAAGATATGTTGTTGGAAAAGGGAACCTCAATGTATATATGTATATTAAAGTAGGATTGTACTTAGAAGCATAATGGAATATGTACTTAGAAGAATTGTGACAATTTTAGATAATCACTTTTATTTTATACATAGGTGATCTATTATGAAGGCAATTTTATTATAAGATAATTAACATAAAAACATAGAAGGCAATGAAAAGATTTTTCATGTACATTTATTAATCTTGAGAATCTGTATGATTAAATCCATGAGATTTTTTTAATGTGTGGATTGAGTAGAAACAAAATTTTATATGGAGGTTATTGATTTTATCTATGGATTAGTGAGCGAAGTAGTTAAGTGATTAAAGATTTTAAAATCATAATAGGATTACGTAATGGTTCAACATTAATCACATTTATTATCATACTAGTTGAATATTTTTATATAGGACGTATCTTATGCTATTTGTAAATCACCTAGTTCAAATAATAGATTTCTTTTGTAGTGGGTAAAAATTGATATTTAAAAAAAATCTTTTTAGAACGCAAGGTGCATTGGATCTACAAAGTGGTTATGTACTTGATGATCATATGTAATTTTAAGTGGATGTGAATTTGTAATCATTGTTTATTGTTGGAAGATCATATGATAAATGATACATGTGTGTGATATGCTAAAGTACCTTTGATAGGGTTGACAACATGTCAAGTTTGGGTGACTGTTTTCACCTTAAAATATTTGGGTTTAACTCAACTAGTACTTGATTTGATATTTGAGTCCATACAACTTTGAGCTCACTCGCAATCCTTAAGAGTTGGTTTGAAAGCAGCCCAAAATATTACAAATTTGACTATATATTGATTAATTTGATTCACTGTCACATTCACTACACTATATACAATATGATTTTCTCAATTGTCATGTTCATGAGCTTTAAATAAAAAAAAAAAATAGAAAGAAACTTATAAGCATATACTCATCTTCTACTACATGTTTGGATTTTGGCCCATGCCCATCATATTTATTGATAGATAATAATTTATCATAACACAAATATGTTATTCTATATTTCTATGTGGCAGTGGTGAACAATAAAAAATGTGGTGCGCACCATTTTAAAAATAACATGAAACAAAAAAATCATGAATACTTTATTAAAAATTTAACAAAATAAGAGAAAAATACCTTAATTAAAAAAGACTTTATTTATGTCATATAATAGAGTGTAATATTGATTTTAACATTATCAATTATGCATATCATGGGCATGTGCAAAATTATTTGTATCCCATTATAATGGTGTCTTTGGAGTCCATGACATTGTACAATACACATGAAAACCATTGAGTTGTGGGAGAAGAGAGAAGAAATAACCAGAGCATAAAATAATTTTATTCAAGTTGAGATGGAGATGATTAAGCGCCAAGTATTAACTGAAATTTAAATCATGCCAATCTACTAGTAAACATCTTTGATCCATGTCTTGACCTTCATAAGCTTCTCTTCATCTATTCCCTTAGTTAATGCATTCAAGAGTTTAGCTTTGATAGCAAATGATAGGTATACAATAAAAAGTTAAATCATGAATAGAGTTTAAAGGAGAAGGGGGAATGAATGGATAAATACCAAGCCTTTTAGCAATCATAATTAATTAAACTTTGAGCTTAATTTGTTAATACCCTTCAAAAATAGGCATAATTTATCTATAATGTTTGATTATATTTACCCCTTTTTAAGGTGTTTTCTAAATCAAGTCCATTCAAAAAGGGGAAGTCATTTCAATCGAAGGAAAAGCTTTGGGGATTAATGAAAATTTAGATGACTCAAGGAGGATATCTAAAGTTTAAGGAAGATATTACGGGGAAAAGAATGTTCACTCATTTTTGACAAAGGAGAAAAAGGGAGAAGCATATAATAAACTCAACTTAAGGTCAGAGACATCTCTAATCAGAGTGCATCAAGAATAGGATGTATCATTATTCGCAAAAATAACAACGATAAATGTATATTTATTTTTTAAACTTTTGCTTGGCAGGTTATAATACCCTTAGCACTGTAAGGTATGACACACTTACATATGAAAGAGCTTAATAGTTTCTACTTACAAAAATGTCATATCGCTTCAATTATATAGTTAAACAAACACATTTGCATTAGAGTCGAACTTAGCAACAAGATACTCTCATTATGATATGTGTAACCTTTAACAAAGTTTTGTTATACATATATTTAATTTAAATAAACCAATAAATCAAGAATAAAAAGATAACTAGAAAAATAAAGTTGCACGCGATGTGCTAGAACGCATATAGTTTGCATAACCTGCGTTATTTTGTTTTGCTATGTTTTGTCATGCAAATAGTGCAAGAGTTGTGCTACATGCTTTATAGGCTATAATTGGTGCTATTTTGTGTTAAAATATATGAGTAGTGGAAGAGGGACATGATTTGAGGTGATAATGGAGCTGAAAAATTTTTATGCCATTTAAGAGGATGAAGTTCTTTTTTTCTTTTAAGAGAGAAGATGAAATTCTTTAGAGTTTGCCTATCGACTGTAGTGGAGAAAAGATTGTAGATGTGTTGAATCTCTTTTAAGCCGATGAAATCTATTTCTTTGTGAAGTTTGATGGAAGGCAGTGACTACGGCTTTGTAGGGACAAGTTAGTGAAAGGTTAGAGATATTGAATCTTTTTGCTGCCAATGAAAATATGGTTATCTATGAAGCTTGATAGAAGGCAACAGTTGGGCTGTTATAGGGAAAACAACTGAAAAGGAAGTTCAAGGTTATCATGAAGTACTTAGTGGAGATGGGTGAGATGCACCATTGTGAAGGCGGAGAGCTTTGAATTTATGTATTTGGAGAATAATGTTGTATAAATTGATTACAATACCTTTTGATTTTTAAAGGTTGTTTGGTTGATTGTAAATGACTTCCTAGAGATTGACTCGTAGGTGAAGTTGATGTTGAAGATGGTGTTAGGTCATGTACATGGGTTGGCGCTAACAATAAGGAGGAAGATGGCTTTAGTATATTTTTTTTTAATTTTTTTTTGTGTTTGCAGGTTTCAGGGGGGTTATTGTTAGAGACAATGGAGTGTGGGAGTGGAAGTGTGTTTAAGGTTGCCTGATGGTGAGTATGGGGGGTTGGGGTCATTAATTGGGGGTCTGAGTGGGTTGGGATTGCGAACGGTGATGGGGAGGGTTTGGGGATATCGCTTTTTTTGGAATTTGCCCAATTTGAGTGAATTTGGAATTCATGTTAAATGGAAGTTTTTGGAGTATTTTAAATTATTTCTGAAAAGAATTTGCATTTATTTTTCTTCATTTTAAGCATATGAAAAATTAAAACTCATATATCCCTTATACTTTACACCCCTAATGCGCCAAACCTAATAGACCTTAAATGATTTTTGGCTTTAGATTTGAATACCCTTGATCCCATGAGTGATCTTGAACCTGAGTGGGCTAGGGAAAAAAAAAATAATTGCAGGGAGAGGTATCAAATATGAATAAAATTGTAGCAAATGCGGGCAACAAAGCATTGAAACACACACATAATATGTTTTGAGTGAGTCATGTTGAGTTTGAAATCGACTCAAAAAATTCTCATGTTGATAAACCCATATACATGCTTGAAATTTATTGAGTATATTTCAAATTGACTCAAAACTCAAATTAGAGTGAGTTTCAAGCAAATTTGTCAACCCTGATATTGGATTTATTTTACAATGAAATATGGATTTATTTGATGATGGAAATTCTGAAGTTGAAGGTAATCAAAAGAAGTGCCTTATGAGTATTGTGAAATAAGATAATTTATGTCTTGAATGTAAATTTTAGAAATTGCAATTAGATTGTTGTGTTATAAGGATTCAAGTTGTGTCTAAGGAGTCCTTGGATAGCCAGGTGTGGGAGAAAAGAAATAAAGATGTTAATTTAGATGTGAGGTAAAACAAGGAATGAGAATGTTAAGTGATTGTATTGGTGTGGTTGCGGGAGTAATTCATTTTTTAAGAATAGGAAGGGGAAAAGGTTAGGAAAACGATCAAATAGAACAAAGGTAAAATGGCTAGGGGTTTTGCAAAAAAAAAAAAAACTAAGTAGTCAAGAAATGCCTACTGATGAAGATGATTATGATGGTCTATTGGTCTAAGTTTTCTATTGAGTGATGATTGGATACTTCCCCTAAGTTGATTGATTGCTTCATTGGCTAACATGAAACATTTTGAGTACTTAGGGTGGGTAAGTAGAAATAATTTGATAGACCAATTCTAACATAGATAGACATTGCACAAAAAGATCATAGAAAATCTACTGATGATATGATGATGATGTACTTTTGGTCTATTATCTACTATTTTATGATGAGCTGAAAAACATTTGATGCTTCTATGAAGTTTCTTCTATGGATGTCACATCTTAATTTGGTTTTGATTGCTAAACTAATACTGAGCAAGTTTTAAGTTTGTGAAATGAAAGAGTACATCGTTGGCCAACTAAAATGAAACATTTTTGGGTGAATCTTGCGTGTTTTTGTACAATAAAATAACTTCTAATTATATGGGTACAGAAATCCATTTATGAAATATTAATTTTATTGCCTAAATTTTAATTAGTATAAGCATGAAAAATCTTCTTTTCACTTTTGAGGTGGGGTGGAATTTTCCTTTGAGAACCTAGAATCTCTTTGAATTACATGGTTTATCTATTTCCTTAAAAATGAGTTTTTTGAACTAGATTTTTTTTCTAATTTTTTTTTAATTTTTTTTGTTATTGATGTATCTTTTTCTTGTGTTACTCCAATTTTGCAGCTACATTTGCGGTGGGATTGCAGGTTTTACTTCCTTCAAGGATGCTGTTTCTCTGATTTGCTTATGATTGAACAAAGGATTTCGCACGTTTATCCATGCAGTTTATTATATGCACCTGACTTATAAAAAGCTTTGTTACTGTACCAATTACTTGTTTTAGTAGACTGCGTTGTGTAGGCTATTTTAGAAAAGGGGATTAGCCTCATGATATAATGATGTTAATCTCATTATTTATTTAAGAACCGTGAAATATGCAACATCTCCAGGATTGTTGGATTTCGACCATGCAGCAGGATCATCGAGCAGTTGCTGAAGCTTTCTCTATATTGATGGCTGGATGGGTTTCTTTTGTAATTTTGTGTAGATTAGATCTTTTGTATCTGTAGTTTTGCCTGATCCTTTTGTTGTTGCTGCTGCTGCTCCTGTTGTTGTTTTTTTTTTTTTCTCTTTGATGCTACCTTTTTATGTTTTCTGCTTTTAACAAAACTGTAAATAGACTCAGGTGTAGCGTTACAGTGTACATATGCTGGAGCCAAGCAGCTTTAGCTCTTTGAGTGTAAATTTTACCGAAGTAAAATAAATGCATGAAAAGTATTACTTTTTTGAAGGTATTTAGCTGTTACAACAATTGGTGGATTATTAGATTTTCCTATATTATCATTTGTTCCTGATCCGGTGAGGAATTCTTCAAAGAATTCTTTATGAAAATCCATACAAGCAAGTTCTCTTCACCACTCAACACAGATCTTAATGTAGAAGTGAGTGATGATGAATTTCGAATAGGATTTTTTTTCCTTGTAGGATTTCTGTTCTAGTGATTCTTAGGTACCTTGATTTTAGTACATTGGATGCATAACTTGCAGATGATGGGACTTTACCACCAGTTTTGCTAGCCATGCCAAAACCTCTCGCTCTTATAATTAAATTATGTTCAACAGCCTTTTTCTTCTTTTGTTTAGTGGTTTTCATAATGCAAGGCTCTTTTTTATAAGATGGTTTCAACATTTTAGCATTGTCATAGGACCATACTGAATGCAATTTAGAGGAAAATATTTAGAGTCGGATTTCCTGAACTAAATTTGTGTAGAATGAGCTTGTATTGTACTCATCTTAAAATTAATTTAATGAATAGAAAATCTATCTCAATTAGACAAGGACATTCTCTTCCAAAATTTCCCCCAATTTAAATTATCTAACCGTTTGATTGCTGTTTTACTATATGTTCCAGAGTTTGTTTGATTCAAAATTTATTGCTACTTTTTCATAAATCCTCTCATCTTGTTGCAGATTGGCTGATCTATGTTAAAATGTAATTGTAAAGGTTGAAGTAGCTTAAGATTACAAAGGGTCACTTTAGATGTTTTAGGCACATAAAATGTCAGCCTTCAAATAACCCTACGAGGAGAGTGGATGGATTAGATTCGGTCTATGTTAAGAAAGTTAGATTATATTCAAAAATATTTGGTTAGAAAGTATTAAAAAACGGAATTAGATTTAAATGAGATTTCGATTCTTAATAGGATACAATGGAAAAAAAGGATTTATGTGGTTGGATAAAAAGTGGGGGTTGTGTTGTTGAAGATTTTCTATTTCTATTGCATCCAAAAGAAGATTAAATTTCTGATTGTTGATCAGCGCCTGCTTTCGGAAAGCTGTGTTTGGGATAGTCAAAATCAGCGCTGCAGCACTGCGCTTAAAGCAAGCGTTTATTGTCTCAGCACAGCGATATATGAAGAGCTAATTTTATTGAGCTGAACTAAATACGCTGTGTTTATTTGCTTATTTTTTCTATCATTGTCACCTCCAATCATAATTCCTTGCTTTTCCAGCATCCATCATTGTAAAACTTCCTAGAGTGCAAGGACAACAAGGAGCTCCACTTGAGCAGTGTCCCGATAAGTTATTTGCTTTTCAAAAACTAACATAAATTTTCATTTATTATCTCTTATAACACCGCCGATGCTTGCTTGGTTGGACTTATATGAAGTGAGGCATCAACATTGACTTTGATCTATTCCGGAGGTGGGGGACACCAAAATTTATAATTAAGCTCATTGAGCTGATTAACATCCCAGTTTTTCCAGATATAATTCAATTGTAGTTGAATGGAACTAGATAGAACATAAGCTGAAATAGTGAAGGAGAGGCTACCGACCATGTTTGCTAGCATTTCGTGCTCTCCAAGAGTGAAGAACAGCATAACAATATATCTTTATTACCATCACAGGATTATGCATTGATCTTTATCTCCAATTGTCCCAAACATTCAGTATAAGACTAAAATACAGGAATTGAAATCCTCTAATGATTAAAAGTTGTAATTACCTCATGCAACTTTTTGCATTTAACAGTTATGTTATCAATATCTTCTACCTATTGGCAACCTCTTGGACAGATTAGATTCCTGCAACCTCCTATACATAAGCCATGCATTTATGGGCAAGGCATTTTCTGCAATTCTCCACTGAAAAAATAACACTCTTGGCTGCATTTTCAAACTTCTCATCCATTTTAGATTCAATATTGGTCATGAAGGTTGATACATAAGCTCATAAGCCATGGCTATTATAGTTTTACCTATATTTGCATGTATGAGCTCCAGATTTTGAATAAATTGCTAAGCCAAATGTGCTCTCAATGGACCTTAAAAAATATTAGAAGAATGGAATCCAAGCCCTCCCATCCCACAAGGAAGACATTGATCTTCTCAAGCAGCATAATGCATATCCGGCCTATAATGGCCTTTATGCCATAAGAACTTCCTACACAATTGGTCTAAGTCATTCAACACCCCTCTTGGAACCAAGGTATGTGTAACTAGAAATGATGGGAGAGGGAGGAAAGAAGATTTGATGAGAGTAACTCTCCCAACAATTGAAAGAGAACGACTCCCCCAAGTGTTTAATTTATCTAAAGCATGCTTAATCACCATTTCGAAATCAGAAGCAATAGGCCTTCTGAGGGAAATTTTCAAACCCAAATATATAAGCTCTTTAACCAATTTATGCTCAAATAATTTATCCATTATTTTTTTCCTTCAATCAGCAATAGATTTCTTACAAATAACCATTGACTTGCTTCTCTGCCCATACCATAAATAATAATCAACCAAAATCATGTTGATTATCCCCACTAAAAGACGGGATGCTTCGAAAAAGATTAACACATCATCTGCATATAGGAGGTGGGAAATGCTGTAAGCATTTGAATTAATTTTGATCCCCAAATCATCTCTTCGCATAAATATGGTCAGTTCCGAGTCATGTCTAAGTTAGCGGGTTGACCCGAACCCGATTCAAGTTTTCATAAGGCTCAAGAATTAGAACCCGAACCTGACCCATTTGTTAAATGGTTCAACCTGAAATTGAATTTTTGGGTCTGGTTCGAGTTAGGTTTTCAGGTTGTGTCGAAAATTGACACCCCTACGATTGATGATGTTCAGCTTTTCACTAATTGATAAGCTTCAAATTTGACAATAAATATGTTATATATGTCTTCAATATAAGCTACCAAAATATTCCTTTCAGATCACTATACATGTTCATACTATCTGGATGAATAATATATCCTAAAAATGCACTTCATATAGAATCACTTATTTTAAATCTCAAGAACTAGGATTCAATATTTAGTTCTTACAGAAGATGACTCCATAATCAGACAATCACAATTCAAGTTTCTTACCAAGCTTAATAGGATTAACAAACTTCAGATACTCTCTATTTAACCTCTGGCCTTTCTAGATTCTTTCTTGCTGAGACGATTGGATAATCATTTGTGCTAGAGCACCAGAATCTCGATTGATAGGATAATTTACTCCAACTAACTTCTCAATATCCTAAATCAAAATATCTTTAGAAGTACTTAGAAGACTTGCATAAGCACATCAATCTAATCTATCAATTCCAAGCAAATCCGAAAATCTACGAAAATCGGGCAGCGTAACGGCAGTCAGTCAAATTTACACAAAAATCCTGCAAAAAGACACAATTTCCAAATTCTTCCAAATTACAGAGGAATATCTATAACATCAATACAAGACTATTATTCTATAGAAAGCAAATCAAATCACGTCCCGATTATTTTCTATTCGATTAAAATCGCGTAGAATCAATTCCGACCGGTAAAATCTTCGTAGAATACAGTCAAATCGTGTGCAATAATCATATCTATAACATACTAAAAGTTGTGCGGTGAAAGTTGTGTCAATAAGAAATCACGTCGAAAAGTCGACTACGAAAACACAAAACAAATCATAACTCGGTCAAAACACAATATCTTTGAAAACAGAAATAGGGTTCGGAGTCCTTACCACGAGATCTTCACTTTTCCCAACAGCAGCGTCGGACGAAAAGCGCTCCGCGGCCTCCAAAACCCAAGATTCCTCTTCTTTTTTCCTTCTCTTTCTCTCTCTAAAACAGATATTTTGTATTTAAAAATGATTTTCTCTCTCCTCAAAACGAGCTGATTCTCATATATCATTTGTCTGATCGGCCCGGCCGATCGCCAAATCGTCCCGGGACGATCAGACCAGAAAAATCGTCCTGGACGGTTCCCAGAACTATTCTTAGGCCGATATTTTCTACAGTGCCGATCAGCCTGGACGATCTAAAATAGTCCCGGACGATCCTGAGAGGAAAATTCAAATCAGAGAGGAACAGTAAGGGAACGAGGTCTCACATAAGGGCTCTCCATCGAGATCTGAAGCATCTTGATAACATTCACATTATCACATTCAAGTATAATTCATTGCTTTTCAAGCGTCAATCCTTGTAAAATTTCTCAGAGTGCAAGGACGGCAAGGAGCTCCACTTGAGCAATGTCCAAATAAGTTATTTGCTTTTCAAATGTCAACATAAAATTTTCTTTATGATCTCTTATAACACCATCAATGCTTGCTCAGTTGGACTTAAGAAGTGTGGCATCAACATTGACTTTGCTAATCTAGAGGTGGGGAACACCAAAATTTATAATTCAGCTCATTCAGCTGGTTAGCATCCTAGTTCTCCAAGATATGATTCAATTGTAGTTGAATGGAAGTAGATAGAACATAAGCTGAAATACTGAAGAAGAGGCAACCGGTCTTCCATTTTTGCTAGCATTTCTTGCTCTCCATGAGTGAAAAACAGCATAATAAAATATCCTTACCATCTCATCTCCAATTGTTCCAAACATTCAGTATAAGACTAAAATACAGGAATTGAAATGCCCCAATGATTAAAAGTTGTAATTACCTCATGCAACTTTTTGCATTTAACAGTTATGTTATCAATATTTTCTACCTATTGGCAACCTCTTGGACAAATTAGATTCCTGCAACCTCCTATGCATAAGCCATGCATTTATGGGCAAGGCATTTTTTGCAATTCTCCACTAAAAAAATAACACTCTTGGCTGCATTTTCAAACTTCTCATCCATTTTCGATTCAATATTGGCCATGAAGGTTGATACATAAGCTCATAAGCCATAGCTATTATAGTTTTACCTATATTTGCATGTATGAGCTCCACATTTTGAATAGATTGCCAAGCCAAATGTGCTCTCAATGGACCTTAAAAAATCGTAGAAGAATGAAATACAAGTCCTCCTATCCCACAAGGAAGACAGAGATCTTCCCAAGCATCGTAATGCATACCCTGCCTACCTTGGCTTTCATGCCATAATAACTTCCTACACAATTTGTCTAAGTCATTCAACACCCCTCTTGGAACCAAGGTATGTGTAACTAGAAATGATGGGAGAGGGAGGAAAGAAGATTTGATGAGAGTAACTCTCCCAACAATTGAAAGAGAACGACTCCCCCAAGTATTTAATTTATATAAAGCATGCTTAATCACCATTTCAAAATCAGAAGCAATAGACCTTCTGAGGGAAATTTTCAAACCCAAATATATAAGCTCTTTAACCAATTTATCCATTCTTTTCTTCCTTCAATCAGCAATATATTTCCCACAAATAGCCATTAACTTGCTTTTTCTGCCCATACCATAAATAATAATCAACCAAAATCATATTGATTATCCCCACTAAATGATGGGATGCTTCGAAAAAGATTAACACATCATCTGCATATAGGAGGTGGGAAATGCTATAAGCATTTGAAGTAATTTTGATCCCCATATCATCTCTTCATTGATGAAATGCCTTTGTTAACAACTCTGAACACATAATAAATAAATATGGTCAGTTCCGAGTCAATTCTAAGTTAGCGAGTTGACCCGAATCCGATTCAAGTTTTCATAAGGCTCAAGAATTAGAACTCGAACTGACCCATTTGTTAAATGGTTCAACTTGAAATTGAATTTTTTGGGTCTAGTTCGAGTTAGGTTTTCAGGTTGTGTCGAAAATTGACACCCCTACGGTTGATGATGTTCAGCTTTTCACTAATTGATAATCTTCAAATTTGATAATAAATATGTTATATCTGTCTTCAATATAAGCTACCAAAATATTTCTTTCAGATCACTATACATGTTCATACTATCTGGATGAATAATATATCCTAAAAATGCACTTCATATAGAATCACTTATTTTAAATCTCAAGAACTAGGATTCAATATTTAGTTCTTACAGAAGATGACTCCATAATCAGACAATCACAATTCAAGTTTCTTACCAAGCTTAATAGGATTAACAAACTTCAGATACTCTCTATTTAACCTCTGGCCTTCCTAAATTCTTTCTTGCTGAGACGATTGGATAATCATTTGTGCTAGAGCACCAGAATCTCGATTGATAGGATAATTTACTCCAACTAACTTCTCAATATCCTAAATCAAAATATCTTTAGAAGTACTTAGAAGACTTGACATTCTAGAAGGCTTTATTCTCATGGCATATGCTACAATATTTGCCTTATCACGCTAATATTTAGTGGTTAGATCATAATCCTTAATCAACTCAAGCTATCTCCTTTTCCTCAAATTTGGATCCTTATGAGTTAATATGTACTTCAAACTTTAGTGATCAGTGAAAATCTTACATATGATTCTATACAAGTAGTGCCTCCAAATCCTTAGAGAAAATGTAACAACTGTAATATCTAAATTATCAGTTAGATAATTTCTCTCATGTGGTTTCAACTGTCTAAAAGCATATAGTATGATTTTCCCATACTACATTAGAATACATCCTAATCATTTCAGTGAAGCATCGTTGAATACCTAAAATCCCTCTATATTTGATGGAAACTATAGTAGATATCATGCAACCCTCCAGCTTCCAAAAGCTCGTCTCATAATTAGATGTCCAAATGAAAGCCACCGACTTATGAGGCATCTCATCAAAGGCGTAGAAATATGAAAGAAAAAAAATTCACAAACTTCTTATAATAGCTGGCCATGCCTCAAAAACTATGTACCTTAAATATAACAGTAGGCCTTGATCAATCAACAACAACTTAAACTTTATGGGGATCCATAAAAATACATGTACTGCTCCCCATATGTCCCAAAAAATGAGATCCTTTTCAGTTAGAATTCACACTTAAAGAATTTTTCATACAACTAATGATGCCTCAATTTTCTTAGAACAATCCTTAGATATGTTGCATAATTCTCTTTAGAAGATGAGTAAACCAGAATATCATTTAAGAACACGATTACCAACTGATCCAGATATTCCTAGAACATTTTATTCATTAAATCCATAAATAGTGTAGGTTTATCAGTCGCCCCAAAAAGCATGTCTAAGAACTCATAATATTCATACCAGGTACTGAATGTGGTCTTCGCCGCGCGTTCCACTTTTACCTTCACCTAATATTATCTAGACCTCATATCAATCTTGAAAAATATAGAAGATCCTACAAGATAATCAACTCGATCATCGATATGTGGTAGTGGGTGCTTATTCTTGATAGTGACCTTATTTAATTACTTATAATCAATGCACATGCACATAGTATCATTCTTCTTCTTTACAAATAAAATAGGTGCTGCTCATAGAGACATATTAGGATGGATAAAACTCCTTAAGTAAAAGATGTTAACGAGGATGTCAGTTCCTTAAGTGCGGCAGATTATGAAACTCCTTAGGTAAAAGAAGTTAAAATCTTAAACATCAATGTGCCTTTTGGTGTAATGATAAAAATTTCATTAAGAAATTTCACAGTTAAGTATGCTCATCATGGAGAAATCCTAGGATGGCTGACCTCCTGAGAATTTATACCAACAAGACAAAACCGTGAGATCCTTAGTCCAAAGTGGACAATGTCTCAATAATTAGGAGTTCGGGCTGTTACAATAAGTGGCTAAGGAGTGATGTGGTCGACTAATGCACGGAGGGAGTAGTTATGTTGGTTGCACTAGTGTGGCTGCCACTTCCCCTCCCTTTTCCCTCCTTTGCTTTGAAGTTAAATGAAAAGATGTGACTTTTCATGTAGTTTTAGTTTTATAAGAACTCCTTTGAACTTAAATAAAAGAATATTAGGTTTGTGTACACATTTTGGAAAGAAAGTTCATGTGGCTTAGAGACTTGTTAGCCGACCATACTCAAGGAGATTAAGTGATATTGATGCACTTTTATTACTATAATATTATTCCATTCTAATCTACCTTTGGTTTTACATCTTAGAAAAATCCAAAATCCATTTCGATCTCTCAAATTCCAAGTATAAATCTTAATTGCAGGAGCCAACTAAGACTTACTATTTTGTTGGACTAGTTTTGTTCCCGCTAGTATTTGACCAAGCCTAAGCTCTATAAAATTATACCAAAATCTCCAGATATCTACTCAACATTCGATACTTCAATAACCCTAAATTTATTTTGGGTCATTCTAATCAAAATTATTATTATTATTGCTTTTTTATTTTTTATTTATTTTTTTCATTCTAATCAAATTTATGGAGAACCAATCAACCTTAGTTCTAAGGATCTCATGGTTTTGTCGCCGCCTCGTCACCCATCACATCCTCCATCCTTGTACTCTCCCTATATGATTTCATCTTGTGACCAGTAGTTGCATGCCTCCCCCTCCTCCACCCACCCCCATGTATTTTGACTTCTCCAAGGACCTCTAACTCTCCCTTCATGAGGTCATTCCTATGATCTCCATCTCTATCCTTTGGCCTATCTGGTTGCCATTCCTATATATTTTAATTTCTTTTTCAAATATAAAAAGATTTAGATCCATTTTACTTCTAATCAAATACAAAAATAATATCCATAATTTATTTGATGACCAAGTAATTCTCTGCAATATATTTATTTTGTCCTGTATTTAAAATACCCCTTTATTTCAAATACTTGCATCGAAGAACTCCTTAAAAAAATAATAATAATAAAAATCAAATCCTTCAATTTCAAGAAATTTTATTTGGTCCGGTAACCTGACATAGCTCTACATTCGGTGAGCAGTAAACATGTGTCATGTGTTCTCACTATTTACCTTGCGGCCCGACAACCCGACCCGAAACGGGACCGGGAGTTTGCGTATTGCTCGGTATTGCTAGGTATTGGTCGATTTTGCTCGACAAAAACGAAAAATTCCATTATGTGAAAACCAATACCGAGCAATACCGAGTTCTTTTAGGTATTACTCAGTATTGCTTGGTATTGCTCTTCACAGAGCGGTATTTCTCGTTATTGCTAAGCAATACCGAGTAATACCTAGCAATACCGAGCAAATACCAAGCAATACGCGAACATAGTAATCCTGAATTTCGGTGCGAGGCGGGTTGTCAGGCCGCGTGGTAAAGAATAAGAGCACATGACGACATATTATTGATTACCGAAAGTAGACACCTGACCTAATAATTTTTCCAATTTCAAGCCCACAAAAACCATCTAAATTTCATCGGACAATCCATCTAAAATTTACACTTCCTTTCATAGTGAGGCTTCACTGTTTCTCACCTTTTAACCCCCTCTCCCGGCGTTTCGATGTTTCGACAGCCGTACCTCCGCCGTCTCCTTCTCCCCTCACCCCCCTACTCCACCTGCAAGCGTAAAAAACTACCCTCTCTCCCTCCCTTACAACCCCCCATTCCCAAAAAGATCCCTTTCACCGGTTCCGCTCATGGCCGAACCTGGGACGACCCCTACCACTGGATGTCAAATACTTCCGATCCCGACCTTGCCGAACACCTACTACGTGAAAACTCCTACGCAGAAGCTTTCATGATCGACACGGACGGTCTTCGGAAAAGGCTGAAAGAGGAAATGTGGGCACGGATGCCGCCGAGGATTTCAGCTGCTCCCGAGACTTGGGGGAATTGGTGTGCCTTAATTTTTCAGCACATTTGTTCCAAAATATGTATATTAGAAATATGCATTATTATAAAATATTTGTTTTTTTAATCTTTCAAAAATAGTTACACATATTTTACGAATTGAACTAATGTTACTTCATGACTCTGCTTGACTTGTCAAGATTGAATTCCTGAATGAAAATTGTGTGTGTCTTTCTCTATATATTAAGTTTGATTAAATGTCTCTCATTTTTATTTCCAAATCTTAGAAGAAAAATATATAGTACGCGTCGGTATGAATTACTTATTTTGAATCTTGCTCAACAAAATAATTACTATGTAGTAGTTCATGTTTTTTATTTTTTTAAAATTTTTATGTAGTAGTTTATGTTAATTCTTAATAGGGCTAGAAATGAATATGCATTTGATGAACAATTGATTATTTGTTCGGTTAAAGATCTTTCATCATCACTTAGCAAATTGAACAAATTTGAACATTATCCATTTTTTTTTAAATATTCATGAGCTTAACCCTTTATCATTTAACAAATAGTTTTCTCAAAACATGATGAAATATTCTTTTGATGTTTGTTATTTAAAATATTCATTTGTTGTTTATTATTTTATCTTATGTCTTGTTTTATGTTCTTGCATTAAATTTATATTTTTTCTCTGTATTTTAATTGGAATGTATTAACATTGATATAAATATGAGGGGTAATCATATAATAAACCATTAGAGAAAATTTATCTACTAATATGTCAATCTAAAGATATTTTAAATAGCATATTTAAGGAATTATGTGCTTTTTTAATGAATACATTTGTATTAGAAGCATATATATTTTGTTAGGTTATATTAATGCTCGATTAAAGCTTGGTATCAATTTAAAATTAAATGAATAAGCTTGAATATTGTTTTAAATAAACAAGCATGAATACAATTGTAAATAAATAAGTTTGAATATAATTGCATACTCTGATTATGTTCAAAATTTATTAAAATTGATAAGAAAATAAATAAATTTATTTGAGCACAATGATTCTTTACTTGGCTCCACTCATTTGTAGCTTTAGGCTTATGTTGGTTCATCCTTATAACTCTTTCTATTTACTTAAAGCAGGTCATATTATCAATACATACCGGAGGGAAAGGAGTATCCACTCTTGTGTAGGAAGCCCATAAATCAAAATGGATTTACAAAGAAACTTTGTGATTGGTTAAGGGGTTTTGGAGAGGAGGTTTTACTTGATTGGAATGAAATCGCGGAACAGTTTGGCAAGTAACTAACTATTATCACTTATATTTATTCCATATATGAATTTTGTTGCGTTGGTCAATCTTTTTCGTATTGCTATGATATTTAGTTTGTTGGCATATTTATATTTGTGCACTTATGTGATACTCTTATGATGCTTTTACTCTTTGGGAATTAATTAGGATTAAACCCAATATAATTATACTTAGCCAACTACTATAGTGGACAAAAAATCTTCATGGCCTATTGAGATCGAATCCCATTTAATTTATTAATCAGCTCAATATTGGGATGGTGACTATTCTGCTTTCGAGGATTAGATAATATTACTCATAATCTTACTTTTCTCATGCAATCATGACCAGGCCTTTCCTCTTGATAAAGATGGCCTAAAATGTAGCACTTGTGCTTTAAGGGGTTGATATATATATATATTCTTCATGTGCCCTACTTGTTTAGAAGTAAATTTAATATTTATTGCTATTGAAATATTAGTTGTTGTTGGCATAATGAACTATATATTTTACTATTTTCATGTTACTTGTAAGCTGATTCTCATTGCATGCTACTTATGACCAATTGGCTGGAAATTAAGTGTAATAACTATCTAATCAATTACAATGTTCTAATATTCTACATCATATATGGTTTGTTTGGATACTGTGTTTATTAAATTGCAAACTAAATAGTTTGCATCAATAAACTAAATATTTAACATTATTATACTTTGTGGGTAGCATATCACATCACTAAATTTAAATAATTAGCAACAGTTATCAGTAATTGTTACATGCTAAACTTCTTGTAAGTAGAGAGAGAATTTTCATCACCTTAGCTATGGACAATGACCCGCACATACAATGGTAGAGCTATAAAACTTTTGTCATGGGTAAATAAATCGACTATTTTAAAAATGGCATCAATATTTTCAAGAGATATTTATAAATCTAAACCATAAAATATTGGAGGAGCATAAAGTCAATATATTTGTTAAATTCCATGATATTTACATAAATAATAAAAATTTTGGAGGGCAGCTTAGTTATGGACAATGAACCACACATGCAGCGGTAGATCCATAAATTTTTCATCATGGGGGCATAAATTAACTATTCTAAGACTGTCATCAATATTTATCAATAGATGTTATAACTCAAAACCCTAAAATTTTAGAGGGAGCATAAATTAAAATTTTTGTTAAATAATATTTACACAAGTAAAAATACATTATATATATATATATATAT